CCCCAAAACCCCAAAACCCCAAAACCCCAAAACCCCTCTGAATAAATTAATTTGGAAATGAGAAATAATTTTAATTATAATTTGAGATTTTATTTAAACTAACTCTTCATAAATGGTAACATATAGAACTTCCCATTGAATCAAATCTTAACTTTTACATATAGCCCCAATCATAGTATTCAAATTAATCAAAGATTTCTAAGCAATCAAAGAAATCAGGTGTTTCTAAGCCATCATATGTTGATGAGTCACTTTTCGGTAAGATATATCGCTCTCATTCTCCTGAGTTATATATTTCAACGATGATCATACATTTTATAACTCCATTTGTCTTTTAGGTAATAATAAAAAGAAAGCAGGAAGCAAAGCAGGGGAAACCCAAGCTGCCCCAGTGGTTGACAAGGACGAACTAAGAGATATCAGAAAGAAAACTGAAAAGGGACAAAAATCTGATGCAATCGTTATTACTCAGAACGAGTTGGAGCGTATGAAGGCTTCTACTAAGATCTAGACCAAGGAATAAGAGTCACAACACCGCAAAATCCTTGAAGAACAAAAAGACTAATAGATGGCTGAAGCAAAGGCAAGAAAACAACGTATGCTTGAAATGGACAGAGAGCGTGCTAACAAAATTCCACCAACTGAGTATCAACAAATCACCAAGGAGAAAAATGAAACTCTTCTTACCAAAGCTCAGTAAATGCTAGATGAGGAGCATGATGATGTCAAGCACATGAACTAGATGATGCTTTACTCTAAAGTAGTAACAATCAGAGATAGATAAAAGGAGGAGTAAAAGAGATTAGAGGAAGAGTGGATTGAAGAGCAAAAGAGACTTGACCTTATGATGGAAATTGAAAGATTGAAGTCTCTCTAACTCTAGGAAGAAAGAGAGTCAAAGAGAAAGGATGCCCAAAAGCAAGGATCTCTAGTCATCATTGATCAAATTAAAGAAAGAGAAATGGAAAGAATAAAGGAATAAGAGATGAGAGAACGTGAAATGCAACAAATGTTGAGATAAATTGAGGCCTTAAAATCAGAGGAAGTCAGATAAGCAATGGAAAAGAAGGATAGAGTTAATAAACTCATGTCAGAGGTCGAAGATGCTAACAAAAAAGCTATTCATGTAAAAGAAGAAAAGAAAGTTGAGGAAAAGTAATTGGAAATGAAGATTGTTGATTATAACCGTCAAAAGGCACTTAGAGAGGAGGAATAACTCGCTGAGGCTAGACGCATTAAGGAGGAAAAGGAAAAAGAAGTTCAAAGACTTAGAGAATTACAAGAGAAAGCCTAGGACAGACAAGCCGAAATCGACGCCCTAAGAGCCAAGAGAGCTTTCGAAGAAAGTGAGAGAATCGCTAGAGAGAAAGAGAGAAAGGAACTTGAACACAAGTAGAAGGTATTGAGAGAGCTCGAGGAAGCTAGACAACAGCAATTCTTAGACAGAGAGAGAAGATTAGCTGAGCAAGCTAAGTAAGAAAGAGATGAATTCATGAGAATCATTCAGAAGCAAAAGGAAGTTGAAGAATAGGAGAGAAGAATTGAGGAGGAGAAGAAGGAAGTACTTAAGAAGCACTCTCAACAGCTTAGATCTCAAATTCAAACCAATGATGAGAAGGGCAAGCAAGATAGACTTGACTACTTAGAGGAAGGTAGAAAGGTCAGATAAAAGATCGAGGATGAGAAAAGAAAAATTGAAGCAATAAAGCAGAAGAAACTCGAGGCGCTAAATAATCTTGAGATTCCTGAAAAGTACAAAGCTGAATTAGCCAAGAAGAAGATTTTGTGAGGAGCTAAATCTGTTTGATATCCTATAGATATAAGGCATAAGTCAGTCAATCTTTGGTACTGTTCATTGAATATGAGGAAACTGTTTGATAACTTATGCTAATGCTAACAAACATTTAATTTAAGATATATTTTCAGATTATATATGATCTCCGATACTGAACTTCAATTAGTCTATTGGGGTTTTGGGGTTTTGGGGTTTTGGGG